ACGACGCAGGGCTGGATAAGGTGAGTTGCTTTGCAGTTGGTTAATACTTTTAAAAAGTGAGGTCCTAAAGCTGGTGTTGATATTAGACTTACCTTTGAGGTCCCTGAAGAATGGTAAATTCTAGTCATTTTATCACCATGTATCCCTTTAAAAACCATCTAAACCCCTGGTGTCTCCTTCCAAAAAAGGTGTTGACTGGTGGTATCTTGAATGCTTTTTAACTTAAAAAAAAAACAAACACACCCAAAAGACTCCTAAGAATGGCCTTTTAGAAAATGTCAGAGGTTCCCTCGTACCACCTGCTGGTCACTGGCTGGAGTTTTCAACATTGTTTGACAATACTTAGACTACAAAATTTCTTTACAAATACAATTTTATTAAAACTTGGGACATACATCAACTTCATGTCTTTGCAGGACTTTAAAAAACATCAGTTCTGGGACAGATAACAAAGGAATCCTGGGAGAAGTGGCATCTGGTCAGGAAGAGGAAAGTCTACACTGCGCGGGGTTTTCTTTTACATGGGCCACAGCGTTTATTGACACCACCACTCTTGAAGATTGGGCTTTCTTATTAGTCAAATTCCCCTAAAAGTTCCCGAGCTGGTTACATGTAAATAGTCAGTCACATATATACAGTGAAGTCAGTTTCTTCAGAGGCAACCAGGGTTATAGTGTGAAGTATAAATTTATGACTTTTGTGCCGTTGACTCACTGTGAAACTTGGTCACCATTTCCTGCCTCTGTCCTGCTTCCTAGTTCCTTCTTTGTGAAGGGCCAAAAGAATAAGAGGATTTAAAACAGGGTGGTTCTTACCCTGTAATTTAAAAAAATTCCAGTGACATCTTTCTTTCTCGTTCTTCCCTTGTGAGCCTCTCAGAGAGGGTTAGTTGTGACCTTTTGATATGAAAATGCATTTTGTGCAGCTGGTGAGGTATAATCCAAAGCAAAAGCAGGGGCACAAATGGGCTTCCAGAAGTCTCGCTACTCCTGGGTGCTTCTCTCCTGGATGCTTCTCTTCCAGAATCTGCCGCGTTGACTGAAAGCGAATTCTTTGTGTCTCAGGCTTCTTGGCTAACATCATAGGTCTGCTGGAAATCATTCAGTTTTTCATTGTACAGGTGATGCCTCTGTTTTTGGAGGTCCATCTCATGCTTCTTAACCTTCCCAGCCTTCCCACAGTTGTCCCCTGTAGAACAAAGCAAACTCATTTATCACGCTGCTTATGGATTTCTTAATTGGGCCTGCAGCTGAGTAAGCTTCGCTTCAAGGATGTGGCTGCTGAGAAGGAATATTTCTAGATCCCTCAGGGCTTGCTATCACCTAATCATCTAGATTGTCAGTTGTTGGCTTACACCTTCAGTGGCTGGCAAAGATGTCATTTAAAGATCTGGATAGGACAGTGGCTAAGGAGAAAGTGAGATGTAAAGATCAAGTGCTTTCATTCTGGTAGCACCAAAGAAATGCTTAACTGGCCCATTATTTTTCCTGTTAAAGCCACACAGGTTTATATGCATATAAAGACAGAAATGAATAGGCCACGGGTTGCAAATGGCAGCTCACCAAGGGGGCTGGTTGGCCTTCATGGTAACTTCATGTCAAATTAGTTGCCAGCGTTAACAAATTCTCACACATATCTACGTTTCTGGATTTTCTCGATGAAGCAGAGGATTCAAATTGCATCCCATTCCATTCTCTTTAGACCAGAGTGACCTCTCCAGGTTGCCACAGCCTCCCGGCCCCTACCAGCCTCTGTTGGCCCTGGAGTTCGTAGCACGGCTGTTTTGGAAACTATTCAATGAGGCCACCTTGCCGCTGACACTGTGGACCAAGTAGCACCTCTGCAGCCACAGCCTTCAAGACGCCTGGCACTTAGCCGACTGACATGGTTCTCAGCCTCTCAGGAAGGCCTTGAGCTTACCAAGCACAGATGATGACGTGGAGAACAACGGTGTATTAGACAAAGTATAGTCAAGAACATGAAATATACCCAAGTGTGTTATGGGAAAGACTGACATGACTGCTTCCCCTCTTACGGGAATAGGTGAGAGGAATAAGTGAGAAAGGGCACGCATGCAGGACAGCCTCGGCAAAACGAAGCGGATCAGGCCAGATCTCTATTGGTAAACTGGTTCCTCGACTCACAGTGATTTGGAAGAAGGTCTCTTCATTTCTGGCCACTTTCGACGCTGAAACTGCCTAAGGTTTCGAGTGTCAAAAGGAGAAAGAGTG